AAAATATATTTTTATAAAAGTTACCTACTGCAGTGTTGATGTAATATGATTGCTTGTTAAGAAGTGAAAGTGATCACTCCTTTTTTAAATAGCTGATTGGACAGAATAAGAGGTGTGAATGCTCCTGTTCTGTAAGTGGATACTACAGGTTCACGTCCCCCGCTGTACAATTTATGTTAGTGCCTATCCAAGTAGATCTTATTGCCTCCTCTCTGTTCCTCCTCTCTGAAGTCTGCATGTAAACACAGTGGAAAATGCTGACTGGTGGAAGTGAGCTGACGAATACAGTGTTGGTGTAAACAGTGTAAGTAGATCAATCTTTGCTGGAGACCAGCAGCAAAAACCACATACTGCTCAAAGTTACACATTCATCTCATCTTTGGTCTTTAAAGCAGCAGATAAACAGTTTATATTGCACAGGATGAGCAGAAGCTGAAGCTGCTGTTAGTAAGAATGCAAACCTCTCTTGACTTTGTGTTGCAAGGCACGGGAATAAAGAAGTTGCACAGATCAGTTGACAGATTTGGCAAAACTGGAACACCACAGTCTGTCTGAAGTTAAACTCTCAGACAGGCCATGCAGGATCCACCATCAAATCCTTCAGAGGATCACACAACTGGAAGTGGATTCCTCCACACTGCGGGACACACAAGTAAAAGGTTTCAAATCACACTGAATCAGAAACAACCCATATCAATATAAGACAGTCTACAGCCTTCACTCTGAAATAAGTCTAAGCTGTGAATATCTGCTGCTGCCACAAAGTCAACAGTCTGCAAGGCTGGAGTAGTCTACAACGGAGAAACACATCTACTGTTAAACATTATGAAAGACTTGGATATCAACAGGTTTTTGTCTTCTGTTGTTTTTTTTCGAAAATGATCGCAAAAACTGTACTGGACCACGATTGGCTCCTCACTAGTTGTGATGTCACAAAATCATATAACTCAGATTTAAGGTGACTACAGAGAAACTTTCTACTCTCAACAGATACATTTTAAAACAGTCTCACACAACAGCTCCAACATCACAGTGAAGGAACAAAAAGCAAAACACATTGGAAGTAGAAGGGGAACCCACCTCTGCTCTGGAGTGTCCGAATGCTTCATCTTTTTGGGGGTGCTGCCCCCCCACTCGGCTGGCAGCTTCTGAGCATGCTCACCGGTCTCAGTGCTCACCTGAAGAGAGGGGCAGAGACACTTTTCATTCTGGAAATATTTATGACTGGATAAGCAACCATCCAAATGAAAGTCAGAGAGGGTTTGACACTTTCATGAGGACTGAGTGTGTGAGCTCAGAGAAAACACAAAATACCGGAAATTTCTGGGGGGTCTTTAACATCAAAACAATAACAAAAGCTTGTTGATGGCATGAAGCTGTTTGGGATCATGGGACTTCTTTTAAAGTATATGTAGTGTCAACAAATAAATAAATAAATTTAGTTAATCATTTTCAACTTTCGGAGATATTGATGGGCGAAGCTAGGGGGGTTGTCATGGGGTGACAGCGGCCACCTCAGTTTGGTGTCAAATGCTGTAAAATGTAACACATTAATATAGATTCATTTTAAAAATAGTGTTAAAAACGGAAATTATTTGAATCATCTGTTGCCATATTTTAGACTGAGTGATAGGCTTAAGTTTAATTTAAAAAAATGGAAATAAAACAATGTATTAAAGCCTCCAATGCCACCTTTAGATATTTCTATACAATGCTTTGCTAATGTACCACAATGATGTTTCAGAGTTCAAATATCTTCATTTGGGGGTATTTACAAGCAAATATTGACATATGTGATGGTTTGATTAAATTATATTTCTGACACCCCTTAAAGTCTCCATCCACCGTATGCACAGCCCATGAATA